ACTTTCTCTTCCAGGAGATTTAGTGTCTCTGTTTCAATGTTTAGATCTTTAATCCATTTTGACTTTAGCTTAGTGCATGGTGATAGACCTGGGTCAAGTTTTATTTTTTGGCATGTAGAGAGCCAATTTTTCCAGCACCATTTGTTAGTCTATCTTTCTTCCAGTGAGTATGTTTGGCCCCTCTGTCAAATATAAGGTGGCTGAGTGTGTTCGCAGAAGTTTCTGCATCTTCTAATCTATTCCACTGATCCTCAGGTCTATTTTATTGCCAGTACCATGCTGATTTTATCACAGTAGCTTTGTAGTATAATTTCAAGTCAGGAATTGTAATGCCTCCTGCCTTGTCTTTGTTGCCTAGGATTGCCTTTACTATTCTAGGTCTTTTCTGATTCCAAATAAATTTGAGGAATGATTTCTCTAGGTGCCAGCTATTATTGTTGATGTTGAGCTCTCTTCATATATTTTTTATTTTTTCTGTATTTTAAGGAAGGGTCTACAGAGTGTTCAGGGTCTCACTACTAGAGGGGACTCACTGATTCTCCTGAGCTTCCCAACTGCTGAGATTACAGGCATGCACCACCACGCCTAGTTTCAATTGCTGTCACAGCGTCCCCCCGGGGTGGGGCTGACACAGCAGGCCCTGAGATATAAAACCCCCGGCCCCTGTGCCTACTTGCAGGTGATTTAATCCAGTGAGCTATTTGGCCAGCCCTTTCTTCATATTTTAAATGTAAACTTCAATGTGTGTTCAGAACTAAGTATGTGATGAATGAAATGGTAGTACATTAATAACTTTATTTGTAAAAATATCTGTATATGCATATTAAAGGAACTAGTATTTTAAAGCTGATGTATTTTAAATTAGAATGAATTTGGCTAGTAAAAATTAAGCAAAAATAAGAGAGATGAACATCAAGGAACATGAAATTGGGCTCAGATGAGAGATCTAAGGCAGCAATCTGAGGTTGGGCCTGGAGTATGTGCTGCAAGCACTTTTGACATCTTTCTTCCTCTCCTATTTATTGTGCTACAGGAATAGTTAAGTATTTTTCCATGGTTCACTTCACAGTAAGGGAACACACATGTGAGAAACAGAAAATGATGTTTTGCTCCTTATATAGAATTCTACACAGAAAGATACTGAACTTAAATAATTAGTTTAACTTTACCTTCTCATGCTTCATATTCAGATAGTTAATACATCTGTTGAAAAGCTTAATCTGCTTTAGGAAGGTGACTTGATAACGGCCTCCATATGTGCTGGGGGAGGCACGCAGAGGGATATGTCCCAGCAGTGTGCCCAGTCTAGCTCCAGCCACTGGCATGTGGCCCTCCGAAAACACAGCTCAGAGCCTGGCTGCTGAATTCTGCAGAAAGCCCTTCTCCTGCTCTGCTACCCTAGCCTTTGCTGTGAGGGCTTATTTCTACTCAGAAAAGAGTTCCTGATGTCTTGCTCTAAAATGTCTTGTCCTTTTATTCAAAATGATACCCCTATCTTCTTCCAGGAGACATCTAGACCTGCTGGCTTAAGGTGAAATCCAGTTATTTGGTGGGGATGATTAGAAGTAGGACACAAGTATTTGTTGAATCTTGTGAAGTTCTGTAAGAAAAGTGCAGACTTTTGCAACCCTGTTTTGTCAACCAATTGCCACTGAGAACAAAGATCTCTCTTGTATCCTCTGATAAAGGGTCCAACAGTGTCATATGTATTTATGAAAATGTGGGTATCATACATGCTGATTTTATTTTTTCAGTTTTACTTTAGCAAAATGGAAATGGAAGGGATATGGCAGTTGCCTAGCTTTAGCATAGATCCATTTGGGCCTATCAAAGGGCTCTACTCCCTGAGAGCAACACAAATGCACTTTACAATTGTGTGTGACAAGAGCATCCAGGCTGAGAGGGATCTTGTGAGAAGCAGAGGCACACTTGTGTGGATCCATCTGTCCCTTCTTGTGACTAACGTTCCTTGTAGTGTCTTTTTTGTAGTACCAGGGATCAAACTAAGTACCTTGCACTTGCCACACAAGCACTTATTCCATTGAGCTGTTTCCCTAGACCCACCTTCTAGTGTTTTAATTATACAAACCAGATGACTTTACTACATCAACAACAGATAGCAAGGCATATAAGAAGATGATGCAGCACTGAAATTAAAACCTATACTATGCACCTGTCATCAACCAGTCACAGGCAGTCATCATTCTAGTCTGAGACAGAGGTGCCCCCTAGGTAGGAGCTACTGTATTGGAATCACAGGGCTGGGAGTAGCTGTGCTTGTGGCCTGGAGAAGCCCATCCAGTTGGGTTGGAAGCATCAAGTCTTTGGCCACAGCTGCACAGCACTGGCATCCAACCCTGCTACAGTTGGGGCTCGTGTGTTCTGCTATATACACAGTGTGGCTGCACCAGCAGTGCTTTCTATATGGCATCCACTCAATTGCTCACCTGTGCAGAACTCTCATTCTACTTTGACACTCTTTATATATATTTCTTAGCCTCATTACTAAATACTAAGTTCCTGGATGAAGAAGGTTTTATTTTATTAATTGTTGAGTCCACCTACAAATACACACACACACACACACACACACACACAGACTATATGGTAGATGATGGATGTATCAGTATAAGATGAAAAAGTAGGGTAATAACACAAAATTATAATACAATGATGTATATAGTTTTGTCTATAGAGCCAACCAAGATTTTAATGTT